TTCCTTCGAAAACTCTACATTGAAATCAATGGCATTTTTAAACTTCCTTATTCATAATTTTCTCTTGCTAGGTATGAAGAGGTGCTCAGTTCCTTGTAAACTCTGGATACCAGTGGTTAGCTAGGAGGATAGTGTGTAAATAGTCTGTGTTGTTGCTTCCCAACTTTACTGGACAGAACATCTCAGTTTGCTATCACCACATTTACCTACATTTGCTTTTTCTATTCATGCTTTGGAGAGTCTTGCTCTCCCATCCTTTCTGCACTCTCTCCAATTTCTCATCATTTAGTAATTTTCACTGAAAGACAACTCATATAATGGGTCAAATTAATCAATCCTAAGTGTTTTGTTTGTTTGACCATGTAGTTAATGGGAATGAGATGACATTCTTGATGGTTTCTCAATAAGTCCTTATGGGTATCTAAAAATGGTGCTGACTTTTTTGTATCCTGAAACTACTGAATTTTTAGTCAGTTCTAACTTTTATAGAGACTTTACATTTTTTGCACATAAACTAACTTCATCTAAAGTTAAAATGTTGTGGTTTGAATGGGGTGTCTCCAACAGTCTCCGATATTTAAACTTGGTCTCCAGTTGGTGAAGATATTTGGGGAGCTTTAAGTCATGCAACCTTCCTGAAGGAAGTATGTCACCGAGGATGAACTTTGAGATTAAAGCCTTATTCTGTTTCCAGTTTGCTCTCTCAGCTTTACCATTGTGTTTCAGGATGAGTTCTCAACATCCTGTTCGTGCCCATCAGGCATGCTACTTGCTGTCCTGCTTCCTGACCATCATGGACTCTAACCTTCTGGTACGTTTAAGCTCAAATAAACCTTCTATAACTTATCTTGGTCATGGTGCTAATCACAGCAACAGAAAAGTAACTGATAAACAAAGGTAATTTGATTTCCCCCTTTCCTACTTAGATGTCCTTTACTTCTTTCTCTTCACTAATTATTCTGAGACCACTAGTATTATGCTTAAAAGGAGTAGTGAAAACAGACATCAAACTTCTTCCTTACTGGACTTGGTGGCACACACAATTAATCCAGTACTAGGTGGGTAGAGACAGGAAGGTTTTGTGTTCAAGGCTACATAGTGACTCCCAGGCTAGCCAGTGTTACACAGAGAGACCTCACAAACCAAACAAACAAGTCTGACTCTTCCATGTGGAAGCTCCAGTTTTTCACCCTGTTTTATCTACCTTATAAGAACTTGTGTGATGCAAGAACAATAAGTTACTGCATCTCACATTTTCAATTGACACCCAATGAACAACCTTAACTTAGCCCCTGTGAACATATACCTCATAAATCACTATGTTTATGGGTCCTTAGATAGAAAAGTTCCTCATTAATCTCATTGTCTCCCATTAATTATTAGCCTAATATGTAACATATTTAATAATGAAATAGAGAAATGAATTAATTATGAAAATAATGAATTACTATTATCTGAAGGGTAGGATGAAAGGATAATGAGAGAAAATGCACAAAAGGTCAAATTACATAAGACTATAAATAAATACTTTATAGTATCCACCAACAGAAATATTACATGGAAAAAATAAATATACCTTAATGAAAGGACACTAAAATATACTAATTACATATTTATAGGTAACACTTTCCTTGGTATTCAGTGATAAAATTAATTCTTTTCCTATAAGGTGAAATATGAACTGGACATAAAATCCCTGTGAATCTTACTATGGTGCATCAAGCAGCAGGATGTAAAATGAAGTCAAAAAGAAAAGAGAAGAAATAGAAGTCTCCTAGGTTATGCTCTTCAACACAACAGCTGACATTTCTGTAATAAGATCTCATTTTATTTTAATCCATTAGCAACCACTAAATTACAGACATCTACAGATGCTATCTTGCTACCATGGAGATGCAGAATATATGAATTAATTAAGACTGGTTGAAAAGGAAAAGAGGTTGTATAGCTCCTACAAGAAGCAGTTTCTTTCAATAGTTTTCTTCTTTACCCAACAAATACCCCATGTTGTCAAGTTTCTTAATTACTTGCCATGTTAGCCTTATTTTCTGACAAGCCAGAAGTCATACATTATTCAATTGTTATGACTTCCTGCATTTGGGCTTAATCATCAGACTTCATATTAAATCATCACTGTGCATTGTCAGTTCTTTGATGCCCCTTACTTTTTCTTATGCATGGTTATTTTAAACCAACTATTCGTGTACACTTTGTCAAAGGCCACTGTCATTGAGGCTCCAATACTTGAATGGAGGCTCCCAGACACCAAGAATTACTATAAATAAAATAAGGAGAACTCATTACCTCAGGAAGGCATAAAGAGAACATGATGTGGCTTATTAATCAGGTTATTATTAGTCTATAAATGAAGGGTACATTATAAGAAAGCCAGTTACTTACATAAAAACTAGGGCATCCCTAATTCAAACATGCAAATTCCAAATCTTTTGGAGTGGCAAAAAAGATTGACAGGTGGAACACTACACATGTGATTTATTATTATTAGTCTATAAATGAAGGGTACATTATAAGAAAGCATATTTCTTTAAGAAAGAAATTTTTATAAGAAAGCATATAAGAAATACATAAAAACTAGGGCATCCCTAATTCAAACATGCAAATTCCAAATGTTTTGGAGTGGCAAAAAAGATTGACAGGTGGAACACTACACATGTGATTTCATGTGATCTGTTGATCAAAGCACACGCTCACTGAAAGTATTGTATAAGCCAATGCATATAAGATTTATGTAAAAATGAAAAAAATGCATTTCCATCTCCAAGGTATTTTGATGTTTAATTAAATGCTACAAAATACAAAAAAGTGAACATTTCTGGTCTTTAAAATATTTCACAAGAGATAGTGACCCTATACAAACACAAAATTTACTGAATTATGGCATATATTATAGTTTCCCAACCCAACCTACTTATATTAGTTTCATGGAGGTTTCAACTGTGTTCTGCATTATTTCCACAGGTTTTACCAGTGAATAGAAACTTACAAAAGATCTGACTATTTGACCAGCCACTGATACTGCTCACTATTTTTTAAAATGCTATTTGGGGGCAAGGGAAAATTCAGTGGTAGAGTGCTTGTCTAGTATGTACAAGGTTTAGATTTAGTCTTCAGTACCTCATACACAAGGCACATGTGTCCCTTTGTTGTATGCAGAATGTATGTATGGATCTGGGAGGTAATAAAAGATATCCCAATAATATTAGTAACAGTGAGTGCCGTGCTTAAAATACTGGACATCTGAGAGCCTGGAGATGTCTCAGTAGTTAAAAGCCCTGTTGCTCTTCCAGAGGCCTCAGGTTCAATTCTCAGCACCCACATAGCAGCTCCCAACCATCTGCAACTCAAGTTCTAGGGGATATGGTGATTTCCTCTAGTCTTTGTAGGCAACAGGCATGCACACAATGCCCAGATACACGTGTAAGAAACATACCCACACATATAAAATATCTGGTATCTCATCAAATGCTCATTAGTGATATATTTAAATGTAGCCAATTGCAGATGGTATACAAAACACAGCATCTCAAATCTGATTCTTACATACACTTCAAATTATTGAGCTGGGTGCTCAAATACTTGTGCTATTGGATAATCATTTTGCAACTGTGGGTTGTCTTGGATTGGGTAAGCTAAGAAATCACAATACCACTTTTTTTTCATACAACTATTTTCTAATGAAGAAGCACATTTTTCAAAAATTCACTCTTCACCTTAAAGAACTAGAAGCATATAAAGAGCAAACAAGGAGAACTGGCCCACTCAGATGGCTCAAATTACGTAACTGAACCTCTGTCAGGTCTTTTGAAATGAACTTCATCCAGAGTGGAATAACAACAGTGTAAAGAAGAGAAACAGCAGTCTACTAAAGGTCAATATTTTACACTAAATAAAAATAGCAAGAAAGACATTGTGCATTGTTTCTCTTCTTCTGACTACGTTCAAGTTTGAAAAGGACACTATCAAGAGTCTGTGCCTTCCAATGAGCAGTCATGTATGACACCACTGAGACAGAGGACAGAGAGCCACCCTTCCCCATGCACTGGGCAAGTCTTGAAGTGTTGTTAAAAATATGCTATTAACATCAATAAATGCTTTGAGTCAGACATGGTGGTCACAACTGCACTTGGAAGACAGAGGCATGAGAATAACTACAAATTCAAGTCCAACCTAGTCTATACAGGAAGTTCTAAGCAAGCCAAGCTACATAGCAAGAATCTTCAAGATAAATTTTAAAAGCTTTTTTCTGCATTCTATTCACCTTCTCATATTCATTTTCCTATAATGAGCAGACACAGGAAATGGCACTTTCCCTATTAACAGCTATTGGGTTCTCTCTTGCTGGCACAAATAATAGTGAGACAGCATTCAAGCCAGCAGCAGCCATCTTGAATACATCATGGATTCCTTAAGGTAACTATGCAAAAGACAGTTGCCCTTCATTGCCCTTGTTCCTGGTTAAAGCAGGTTGTCCCATGATTTTTACAATCTCTATCATGGATGGACCATTTCCACCTCAACTAGAGGGGAACATTTCCTCTAGTGGAGGGACTCCTGTGATTGGGACTAGAGACAACACAGCAATTGGCCAGACAAATGGCTGAGGTTGGATCAAACACTCCTTAAGTAAAATAGATGCTCTCCAGTAATGCCTCCCCATATTACAAACATAAAATGTAGCTTCCTGGATGGGCCAGTGGACACACAGCAGCAAAATCAGCAAGAACTACAGCAGTCAAATGGGGGAGGCAGTTACCCTAGGCTCAGGAATGGATCCTAGTATCTCCTGTTTTCACAGGCAACTTAATGCAGTGTGCAGAGTCCTACATCAAATAAAGGTCTTAAATTACCTGGCACTGCCATAGGCCTAATATTGCCCAGTGCCTCATGAAACCTCATCTAGTTGGTTATGGTAAATCAGCCTGGGTCACCCACATCTGGATGAACCAGACTGAAAGAGAATCCAGCTCCTGATAGCTTACCTGGTTCTGGCAATGACCACTGAGGGGTGAAAGAGGTCATGCAGCCCATGGTTGGTGGTTAAAGGAAAACCCTATACAGTTCGAATTATGGCTGGAGAAGGAAGATGAGAAGTACAGGTACAGAAAAGTAAAGAGCTGACTAAGCAAAGAAAAAGCTGTGGGAAGCCAAAGGAAAATGGTTCTGGCCTTCAAAGAAGCTCCAGAGTGTGGTTGAGTTTTCCAACCAAGGCTCACAGACCTAGGCCAAGCATTGTAACACTGCTGCTGCTGCTGTTGCTATGACCACAGGTTGAGGGATATATATTTGAGGCCTGTACAAACTCCAGCAAAGATTTTCTCCAGCTGTGTCTGCCTGCTGCTGCAGCACAGCTATGCCAGGAGATGACAGTTGTGAGAGACCAGCATTGAACAGATTCTTGCCTACCTATGATTTTACCTCAGCCAGACCATTGGTGACATCAGGGCTGAGCTATCTGTCCTCTGGCTAAGTCTGACCCACTCTGTCTTCTGAGTTCATTTCATAGTGAATCACAGTACAACCTTTTCTTTCTTTTTGTTTATTCAATGAAGTGCTTGTAAGAGAATGAACTTCATCACACTTTATCATACTTCTTTACAGAGATCAAAACAAATTTGAAGGCATTAACAGACTAGATGTGAGATCCATATACTTTTCATTTTATCTACTCTTAAAAAATCAGATATAAGATTCATTACAATGATAAAAGAAAATGCTGTCAGTACTGTTTTCCAAACCTGATGTAAAAAATAACCTGACACAGTAAACTGAATTCAAGAGAACATCAAAGAGATCATTCACCATGATCATGTTGGCCTTATTCCAGAGATGAATTAATGGCTCAATATATGTATATTAACAAATGTTATAAATTATATAAATATACTCAAGGATAGAAATCACATGGTAGCCTTGATAGAAGCAGAAAAAAAAAGATTTTACAAAAATCCAATATCCCTTCATGATAAAAGTCCTGAAAAATACTCATATGGAGGAAACATATCTCAATAAAGGCCATATATGGCAAATCTATAGCAAATATATTGAATGAGGGAAAACTCAAAGCATGTCCACTAAAATTCCACTAAACAAACAAACAAACAAAAGGTGTCTACTTTCTCTACTCTTATTCATTAAGGTACAAACAAGCCAATCAAAACATGGGTTACAGAATTGGATAGAGAATTCTCAAAAGAAGACATACAAATGGCTAGTAAACATTTTAAAAAGTGTTCAACACCATTAGCCATCAGGAAAATGCAAATAAAACCCACTTTGAGATTCTACTTAACCATAGTCAGAATAGTATCTTCAAAAAACAAAACAAACAAACAAAAACAAACCCAATTAACCAAAACAGTCAACAAAAACAATGAACCACAAAAGTGCTGGCAAGGATCTGGGGAAAAGGAAAGCCTTATCCATTGTCAGTAGGAGTGTAAGTTGGTAATCCTTCTCTCCTGAGTTGCTTTTGTCTAGGTATTTATCACAACAACCAAAAAGCAACCAATGCATTCAGGCCCAGAAAGATGGGTGCTGAATGTTGTCTCCCATATGGGGATCCCAGCTTCAAAATTTTAGATTCATCTATTTAATCTGGAGTGTCTGGAGTGATCAGAAAGCTAGAAATAGCCTATAAATCGGGAGAGCAGAAAAGGCCTTAAGTGGGAGAGAAGATATTATTAGAACACATATGACATAAGAGTAGAGGTTAATGGAGGTGGAAAGCCTTAAGTGGGGGGGATGGAGTTAGGGATGGGCAAGAGGAAGAGATGGAAAGATATTGATAATGGAAAGGCCCAGGTAGGGATTGGATGAGAAGGGGGTTACCCATATCTAGAGATATATGAAAAGCCATATGGTAACCCACTACTTTTTAACTTTAAATTTTAAAATATAATTAAGGGACTAAAGAGGTTGCTCAGCAATTAAAAAGTGCTTGCTATTCTTGCAGAGGGCCTGGGTTCAATTCCTAGCACCCACACAATTGCCTGGAACTCCAGTGCCAGGAGATCTGATAGCCCTCTTCTGGCCTCCATGGGCACCAAGCTGTACAAGCGAAGCAAGTAAAAAACACAGAGTACACACACATATGTGCAGGTACTCAATAAATTTATACATTAATGTCTAAATAGAAGTATCCTACTTGCATAGGTGCATAATGCTGCTACCAGAAGCTAATGGATTATTCAATGAAAATCCCAACACTAGGATAGGAATGGGAGACTCCAAAAGCATCCCTAAAAGCAATATAGACTATTGCCAGTGCTAGATCATACTGCTGAGAACACTGCTCATTTTGGTTGCAAAACATAAAGGAACAAAGCTAGAATTGATCTAGAAGTTTCTACCCTACTCGATAGCTTTCATAATACCAGAAGACACCATGCAGTCCTCTTGGGTGGGCTAGACACCTATAGTCTTATCCAGAAGTGAACCCTTCGTGCTATATAATACGGAGATGCCAAGCAACATGTGTCCACATGGTGTGATGGTGGCATGAGTGTAATGGAGATAACCAACTGCTTCCTAGTTTAACTTCAGATGGAATTCACACCTCTGCCTGGTACTATAAACCCAGTCAAAAGCCTATGCCTGGGGAGGTGAAGGGCTCCAGTAAGTATGATGTTTGTTTGTTTTGTCTACTTTATACAGCTGGAGTCATGTGGGAAAAAGAACCTCAGTTGAGGAACTGCCTCCATCAGATTGCACTGTGAACAAGTCTGTGGGACATTTTCTTGATGACTGATTGACATGGGAGGGTCCAAACCAATGTAGGTGTTGCCACTGCTAGACAGCTGGTCCTAGTTGTACGGAAAAAGGAAACATGGAGAGCAAACCAGTAGGTAGCATTCCTCCATGGTTTCCATTTCAGGTACTGCCTCCAGGTTCCTGCTCTGACTTTGATTCATGAATGCATGCTGCAAGGCAAAAATAAATCCTTTTTCTCCTCAAGTTGCTTTTGACCATGGTATTTTTACACAGCAATAGAAAGTAACAAGGAAGACAGGTAACAAACTATTATTTTTTTTTAATAGCATGCCAGAATGCCTCTCGGGACTTGACCTTTATGCCTAGAAATCGCTACTGCTGTGGACCTTGGTCAGAGAAAACAATTTTTGCTATGGTCAGTGGTTAATGAAGAGATTCATAACTGGTGACATCTCTATCACCCCTCATCCACAAAGCTCAGAGAACATCACAGAAGAGGAAGTGGAAGGAGTGCCGTGACATGTTACCTTTCAGACATGATATGGCTATTGCACTCATGAAGTCACAGCAGCTAATGTCACCTGCACAAGGCCCGTACACAAAAGTTGGAACTAGTCAACATTCCAGGCAGAGGCGGACCACATGAAGACCCACTGCTCCTGAGGAGCCATTGATGTGGATGGCTACAGGAGGAAGGAGACCCATCTAACTTCATTGGTGTAGCCACTGGAGAGCTGTCTATGATTGGGTAAATTACCCTCTTCCCATGCACATACAGAAACTCTCACTAAATTCAATGTATTATTTTTAAAAATAAGTAAATGGAATAAATTAGGGGGAAGAAGTTGTCCAGGGGAAGTGAGGTACAAGTAAGAGAGAAGAATGGGCCATAAATATGATAAAATGGATTTATATACAATATTGTCAAAATATAAAAATTATTTTAAAGGAAAAAAATAATGTGATCTGAGAAATAAAACAGACATTCACATGAGAAGTTTTATTCTCATGTTTCAGTCCCATAGAAAAGAAACCCCATTTTACCCACACTTGCTGAAAACACTGTATGGAAAAGAAGTATTGCCTAAAATGCCATACATAGGGCTGAGGGGTTGTGGTAGAGCGCCTGCCTAGAACCTACAAGGCCTGAGTTGAAGCTTCAACACAGCAAACTAATCAACACCACATGACTTTTCCTAGATCAACATCAGAAAACATTCCAGTCTTGGTCGCTTATCAATTACAAACTAAGAGAAGAAACAAGGGACCCAGTGTCCTCACCTGTAAGCAGAAAGACCAATAGTAAAAAGACCAGACCATGCACAGGCTGATGGAAAATGTGAGGAGTCCTTGCCTCTAAAGCCAAAGACAGACCCTAGTTTGTTCCATTGACCTAACCCTCTAATATTTTCAGGACAAATGGCCAACCTGAGGGGATGACAGTTATTCCCAGTTAGCATCAGAAAACACACTTTTCCTAGACCATTTGCACCCCAAGCAATGCATCAGCACCCCTCTCCCTCTCCATGACTAGAGGCAAGGCAAAAATGCAAAAATGCATTCCCATGGACTAAGTACCCTCTTCTTGTTTCCAGGATCCAATTTGTATAGAGTGAGGAAACATGCATAGTTTTAGAACCATGTCCAGGAGTACTATTTGGAAAAGAAATTGCCCAAGGTGGGTGAATTCATAGAAAGACTACAGATGGAAAGACTGTCACTGCTTATGCCTAGCTCTTCCAATTGTTCCTTGCCCTAGAATATTAAAATTTTGGCTGGAGGGGGAATGATGAGAGAGGGAAACAGGGAGAAATCCTATTCATTTATTTTTAAAATACAGGCCCCAAGTACACTTTACCTAGTAAGTTAAAAGAAATAGTGGTATAGTGTTTCTTTCAGGAGACCTAATGCTAAAGACAGTAGGTTAAAAAAAAAAAAGCAATGGCAGTTCTAAGCTAAATACAAAACCAAAATTGTTTTCTCCTAGGATAACCTGAATATTTCACAATTTTCTAAATGGAGAAAAAGATTCATCTAAATGCTGGCCTTTCCTAGACCATTTTACTTTAAAATTGCATCTTTCTGCTTGGTCTCAACATCACACATTAAAAATAATTACAACTTAAAAGAAGCTGCACCTAAGTCATCCAACCATTTGGGAGCTAGACCATTAATTTTTCAAAATATGTTTGACTTGTTGAAGATAATTAGTCAACAAAGCTTACTTCTAAGGAAAGGTGAAGACTTCCCACACAGCTCCAGCCCCATAGAGATGAGATAGGGAAACCAACCTAGCTGTAGAAGAGCTTCATCAACAT